CAATTCAGTGACATTGTTTACGTTCTTCCAGTTGTGCTGCTATTCTCACTTTAGATGAAGGTTTACAGAACAAAATAGTTTCTCATTAAAGTTAGTACACATGTTGCACTATGACAATGGTTAACAACCCCACTACATGTTAACACTGTCCTTACTCAACCTTGGGTTCCCTAGCACCAGCTTTCCTGTCCCCTTCTGCCTTCTAGTCTTTGTCCCTGGACTGCTATGCCTCATTAGTCCCGTTTTGTTTTATGGGGCTATCCTTCCATCTTGTTTTGATGCTTCCTGTGTCATTCCATTTTTTGCCCATAAAATCCTTCAATATTGCAACTTGAGGCTTGAACTTCTTCTTCAGTTCTTTCAGCTTGAGAAATGCTGAGTGTGTTCTTCCCTTTTGGTTTTCTAATTCCAGGTCTTCGCACATTTCATTATAATATTTTACTTTGTCTTCTCGAGCCACCCTTTGAAATTTTCTGTTCAGCTCTTTTACTTCATCATTTCTTCCTTCTGCTTTAGCTACTCAATGTTTAAAAGCAAGTTTCAGAGGTCTCCTCTGACATCCATTTTGATCTTTTCTTTCTTCCCTGTCTTTTTAATGATCTTTTACTTTCTTCATGTATGATGTCCTTGATGTCATCCTATAACTGGCCTGGTCTTCGGTCATTAATGTTCAATGTAACAAGTATATTCTTGAGATGGTCTCTAAATTCAGGTGGAATATACTCAAGGTCATACTTTGGCTCTCGCAGACTTGTTTTAATTTTCTTCAGCTTCAACTTGAACTTGCATATGAGCAACTGATAGTCTGTTCCACAGTCGGCCCCTGGCCTTATCTGACTGATATCAGATACTGAGTTTCTCCATCTTCTCTTTCCACAGATGTAGCCAATTTGATTCCTGTGTATTCCATCCAGCAAGGTCCATGTGTATAGCCATTGTTTACGTCACTGAAAGAAGGCACACCTACTCCTCACTTATTGAATATCTCATTATCCAACAGTTCACATTGAGGACACTAGTAAAAAAATCTGCTATCCGACTATTTTGCGTATTAACGATGTGTATCTGGCAATAACAAAGGCCAAGATGTGAGGCGAGAGTAACGCTGGCCCTGATGGTTAAGGTTATGTGTCATCTGGCTGGGCCATGACTGTCAGTGGTTTGGAGTTATGTAATGATGTAATTTGGAAGTTATGTAATGATGTAGTTATCCTCCCTTTTGTGATCTGATGTGGTTATCCTCCATTTTCACATAACCCTGACTTTAGCATAATGACCTGGTCTTTGGAACTTAATCCTGTCAATAAATGAGGAATGGGTGTATTTCCCATGAAAAAGCTGCTGATCTTACAAAATTCTATCATGCAATCTCCAGTGTCATTTCTATCACCAAGGCCATATTTTCAAACTATTGACCCTTCTTCTTGGTTTCCAACTTTCACATTCCAATCACCAGCAATTATCAAAGCATCTTTTTTTAAAAAAAAATTTTGTTTTGTTTTAGGTGAAAGTTTGAGCACAAATTAGTTTCTCATTAAAAAATTTATACATAAACTGTAGCTGCTATCCCTACAACGTGTCAGCACTCTCCTCCTTTCCCTTTCCACTTCGGGTTCTCCATGTCCACTCATCCAATTTTCCTGTCCCTTTCTGCTTTCTGGTCTTTGCTTTTGGGCAGGTGTTGCCCATTTGGTTGAACTAAGAAGCACATTCCTCATATGTGTTACTGTTTGTTTTATAGGGCTGTCTAATCTTTGGCTGCAAGGTGGACTTTGGGAGTGGCTTCAGTTCTGAGTTAGCAGGGTGTCTGGGAACGATATTCTTGGGAGTTCCTCCAGTCTGTGTCAGACCAGTAAGTCTGGTATTCTTTGGTGAATCTGAATTTTGTTCTACATTTTTCTTCCATTCTGTCTGGAAACTCTATTGTGATCTCTGTCACAGTGGTCGGTGGTGGTAGCCAGGCACCATCTAGATCTTCTGGGCTCAGGCTGGTGGAGGCTGTGGTTCATGTGGTCCATTAGTCCCTTGGACTAATATTTTCCTTATCAATGCATCTTGATGGTATGTTAGATCAATTTCATACTGCAGAAGTTGGTAAAAATCTTCAATTTCTTCATCTTTGGCATGAATTTCCAACAAAATGTGGAAATTACAGGACAATAACATCAATATCACATGCAAGTAAAATTTTGCTGAAGATAATTCAAAAACAGTTGCAGCAGTATACCGACAGGGAACTGTCAGAAATCCAAACTGGATTCAAAAGAGGCCATGGGATGAGAGATATCAATGCTGATGTCAGATAGATCTTGGCCGAAAGTAGAGAATACCAGAAAGATGTTTACCTGTATTTTATTGACTACTCAAAGGCATTCGACTGTGTGGGTCCTAAAAAATTATGGGTAATATTGTGAAGAATAAGAATTTCAGAACACTTAATTGTGCTCATGTGGAACCTTGTACCTAGACCAAGAGGTAGTTGTTCAAACAGAACAAGGGGATACTGTGTGGTTTAAAATCAGAAAAGTGTGCATCAGGGTTGTATCCTTTCATCATACTTATTCAATCTCTATGCTGAGCAAATAATCTGAGAAGATGGACTATATGAAGAAAAACGTGGCATCAGGATTGGAGGAAGACTCATTAACAACCTGTGATATGTGGATGACACAACCTTGCTTGTTGAAAATGAAGAATACTTAAAGCACTTACTGATGAAGATCAAATACTACAGCCTTCAGTATGGATTACACCTCAACATAAAGAAAACAAAAATCCTCACAACTGGACCAAGAAGCAACATCATGATAAATGGAGAAAATACTGAAGTTGTCAAGGATTTCATTTTACTTGGATCCACAATCAACACCCATGGAAGTAGCAGTCAAGAAATCAAATGACATATTACATTGGGCAATCTGCTACAAAAGCCCTCTCTAAAGTGTTAAAAAGCAAAGATGTCACCTTTAGGACTAAGGTGCACCTGACCCAAGCCATGGTGTTTTCAATTCCCTCATATGCACAGGAAAGCCAGACAATGACTAAGGAAGACCGAAGAAAAATTGATGCATTGGAATTATGGTGTTGGTGAAGAACAATGAATATACCATGGACTGCCAGAAGAAAAACACATCTGTCTTGGAAGAAGTACAGCCAGAATGCTCTTTAGAAGCGAAAACAGTGAGAAGAACACTTACTTTGGACATGTTATCAGGAGGAACCAGTCCCTGGAGACAGACATTATGCTTGGTAAAGTAGAAGGTCAGCAAAAAATAGGAGGACCCTCAAAGAGATGGACTGACACAGTGGCTCCGACAATGGGCTCCAACACAGCAATGGTTATGAGGATGGCACAGCACTGGGCATCATTTTGTTCTGTGGTATACAGGGTCATTATGAGTGAGAACTGACCTGATGGCACTAACAACACAATTCTCACAGACAACCTGTAAGATAGATACTCTTGTCCACATTCTACAGATGAGAATATTGAAACATGTAGTGAATCGCCCAAAGTCCATATTGTAAATAACAGAGTCAGAACCCAAACCCACGGTTACCCGACTTCAAAGCCACCTACAAAGTTAATGTATAAATATGAGAAATATAGTTAGAAAAGATGGTTTCCATGATGGAAGTTTCAAAATTCACAACGAAAGCTTCTTAATCTATTTTATCGAGGTACCAAGTGATAAACCCTGTAAAGGAACATGGTTTTATGCTTCTATGTAATAAAATGGACACTCTTTTGAAGTTTTATAGTCACAGAAGATAAATGGTAGAGTCATACCTATTTCAACATATCGACTTGGCAAGTCTCTCATTTCACTGGCGTGCCGTTCCTTCACTGAGCATATCTGGAAAATAAATTCGCAAGTAATTTTTAATCAGTGGGTGGAAAATTCTCCCTAATATTTTATCCAATATATGATACTTTTGTTAACTACGTAGCACTAAAGGTGAAGTGTACACAATCTATCATGTGACTTAAATGATAGAAATTAATTTGGATGACATATAGCAATCACTACTTGCATTCTCCAACATTATTCTTCAATAAAATCTTATTCAAGGGCAAAGAAAAAAAGGAAGCTATAACGCAGTTTTAACATGTTTCCAATGACCCATTCTCTAACTCTTAAGATTTTAAGGGCAATTTCCAGCATCATCCAGATAAACAATGGTTATTTGTGGGTGATAAGTGAACATTTTCTATTCCGTTTGCTACACTTCCTAGCATGAACATATTCTATTTTTGTAATAAGAAATGAGAAAAATTTACATAAGTTCAGCCAGGCAGGTAAGTCTAAAGTTAAGTACTGATCCTACATAACTTTCATCAGTGATCAAGTTTTTTTCCTTCTTTCAGAAAGTACTGTGTTCTTCTGTAGCATCTCCACTACTTATAATTTGTTGTTGTTAGATGCCCTTGAGTTGGCTCCGACTTAGGGTGACCTTATGTATAACAGGTCTAAATGTTGCCTAGTCCTGTACCATCTTCATGATTACTGGTATGTCTGAGTACACCATAGAAAATTAAAATACAAAATAAAAACACACAGGGAAAAATAAAACATCATCCACAGTCCCCGCACAAAAGGAACACCATTATTAAACTTAAAAAAAAAATGGTTGGAAGCTACTTTTTTTTAACTTAACAATTTACTACACATAATTTATTATTTAAATATTCTTCTACAATGTAACTCTTAGGCATTTTTATAGTATTTCATTACATGAATGTACCATAATTTATTTAATTAGTTCCCTTTTTGGACATTAAATTGTTTTTTTCTATCTCTGTAACAAGCAATAGTGCAATCAACATACTTTTACATGAAACTTTTGGACTGTTGTTTCATTAGGACAAACTTCTAGAAGTAGAATTGACAGAGCAACAAGTATGCACACTTACACCAGGTTTTTGTTTTGTTTGTTCATTTAATATACATGTTCAAGTTGCTTTCAGCGACACTACAGCAACTCAGTAACCCATGAGCGTCCTTGCTGTCCCTAACCTGGGACCTGAACCCATGACTGTGGAGGTATAGAAGGGACTGGCTATCTTCTTCCCTTGATTGTTTTTTGCCATTTGTCTCCTATCCATCTCAAACAGTTTCTCTACCTCCCACTTTCCCCAGTTTCCTTCTTCTGTCTGTAGGCCTTTGACCTTGCAAGTTCTCCACTCTTCTTTCCACACTTAAGTGGGAAAACTACTAATTGTCTAGCAAGGCATGCTCTGCAATGCAAATGGACAACTCTTTTAGTGTGTTGACAGAAGTACATGAGGAGTAGTCTCTCAAATATAAATATATATATATACATATAAAATAGCAATATTAGCTAGCAACTTTTGAGCAACTACTGGGTCCCAGTTTTAGGTTAAGTGCTTCATAAGACAGGTAGAGTTGTTCTCTTAAGAAGCTTATGGTTTAGTGGGGAAGACACACAATTAAATAACACATTTTGCTAGAAGATGACAGGGAAATACAGAAGTATAGAGCAGGGGCATCTACTAACAGATGTGGAAGGCTTCCTCAAAGAAGTGATATCTAAGTTGAAGCAAGAGAGACAAGACAGGTGCAAAACGGCAATGCAATAGTCTGCAAGGTCATTTAGACAAAACAGAGGGGTGAGGGAGAACAGAGTTGAGACTAAAGAGAAACACAGAGCTCAGATCATGCAGCATCTCTGAAGTCATGCTCAAGATTAGGGTGTCATCCTATGGGCCATGAGAATCCATGGAGGAGTTTAAACAGGGGACTGACATCATCTGATCTGCACTCTAGAAAAATTACTCCAGCTGCATTGTGGAGGGCAGGATGAAGGGGGCAAAACCACAGCCAGGGAGACCTGACAGGGGGATGGAGAGGAGAGATTTCAGAGATACTGACAGAACCTGAGGATTCACTGGACCTCTTCCAATCCTCAAAGACCCCTGAAGGTAATTCTTCATCCTTCATTTAGCAATAAGGATGCTGAGGCTCTGAGAGTTATGTAAGTTACCCAAAATCACAGTTAGAACCAGAACTCAGGCCACGGCCTGACTATGTCTTGTCCACATGCCACAGTCCCTTTGAAGACCAAGGAAACATGGCCCTAATGGCAGCCCAGGGCAGGGCTCTACTTCATGGCTCCTCAGGTCTGTGGTCTGAGCTCTTATTCCAGCACCTGTCTCATAAGCAGGTAGAAGCAGTTGCAGGTGTATGAACATTTATCTAAATTTTACCCGAAGTTCATGTCCTTCATAAGAGCAGATCAAGGATTACAAGAGCAATTTACATCAATAACACCCATGAACATGCCTCATAAACACCAATCTGCCTCTTCCAACTGTCTCCTCCACATCTCCACTCAGGTGTCTAACAGACATCTCAACTGGACATATCCAAAAAACAACTCCTGATTGTTTCCCTCTAAACACACAAAAAGAACTGTTTCTTCTGAGTCCTCAGGTAAAAACAAAAACAAAAGCAAACAAAAACCCAAAAAACAAAAACTTGAGTTGCCACTGGCTTCTATTTTTTTCTTTTACCCCACATCCAATCATCAACGAATACTGTAGGGTCTACCTTCAAAGTATGTCCAGAATTCAGTCAATCCTCACCAGCTCCAGCACTACACTGATCTAACACACACCATCATTTGTTACTGAGGTGGCTGTGCTAGCCTTCTAACTGGTCTCCCCAACGCACTGCCCCGTTACTCTCTCCACACAGCAACCAGAGCGATTCTTTTAGAATTCAAGTTAGATCACTTAACTCACTTCGCTGCTCAAAACACTCTACTGGCTTTCCACCTTACTCAAATTAAAACCCAAAGACTTTACAAAGGCCCGTGAGGCCCTAAATGATTTTCTTCATTGTCTCCGCACCGTAACACACCCACACACATCTCTCTCTACTATCATCTCCTCCTGCTCTCTTCCACACCTGCTCCATCCACTCTGGCAATAAGAGCTTCCTTCACATTCCTCAAAAACACACCAATCACACTCCCGCCTGCCTCAAGGTGTTTGTACCCGCTATTCCCTCTGTCTCACAGTCCCCCATCTTCAATACTGTGTAGCTGCTTTCCTCCAGATCTCTGCTCAAATGACCTGTTAATTTTTAGAGATGCTGTCCCTGCCCCTCCCTATATAAAACAATACCTACCCCAACCTCCTTTACCTTTACGCTGTTTAACTGCTCTCCTCGGTAGTCACCACCATGTACACAGTGAATTCAGTAGCTTGCTTGCTTTTTGACCACGACCATCTTTCCTCACTGGAATGTAAATTTCCCAAGAGAGGCACGTCATCTGTGTGTTTTTTTATCCACAACACTAGAACATTGCCTGGCACATAGTAGGCACTTGGTAAATATTTGTGGGGCAAATATATGACTTAAGTAAACAGCTGACTCTTAAACGTACACTTTATTACTGTTTGTGGTTGTTTCTCCCTAACAAGGTTGCTCTATTTCAGACAGGAAATTTCATGTCTTTATCTTCTCTTCACTCAAAAGAACACAGTAAGATCGTGAACTGAGACGAAGTGCTCAACAGGTAACAGAATGAGTCATAAGAAAAGGAATCTCTAATAAAATAACAACATTTGACATGAAAACATTTTATACGAGTTGCATCTTAATGTGGGCACAGTAAAACTGTATCAGTTTCATTTGGCTGCTGTAACAAAATACCACAAACTTGGTGGCTTATAAAATAGAAAAAGTTATTCTCTCACAGTTCTGGAAGCCAGGAGTCTGAAATGTTTCACTGAGGCGAAATAAAGGTGTTGGCAAGGCCATGCTTCCTCCCAAAGCTCTAGGGGATAATCCGTTCCTTGCGTTCTTCCAGCTTCTAGGGGTTGCCGGCATTACTTTGCCACATCACTCTAATCTCCGCTTTGTGGTCACATTGCCTTCTCCTCTTCTGTATAGCATCTTCCTCTGCCTCTTTATAAGGAGCCCTGGAGATGCAGTGCTTAAGAGCTTGGCTGTTAACCAAAAGGTTGGCAGTTCAAATCTACCAGCCGCTCCTTGGAAACCCTATGGGGCAGTTCTGCTCTGTCCTATAGGGTCACTATGAGTTGGAATCGACTCGATGGCAACAGGTTGTGATTGCATTTAGGGCCCAACTGGATAATCCAGGATAATCTCTCCATCTCAAGATCCTTAACTTAATCATATCTTTCACCAGATAAGGTCATATTCACCCTTTTGCCATAATTACAGGAAACTCAGGTTCCAGAGACAAGGATCTGGTATCTTTGGGGTCATTATTCAGTCTACTACAGAAAGCATTTCTGGTAGCAATCAGTAAATCTGTTATGTGTCCCTAAAGGCTAATTTTCCCTGTCTTTCACCAAAAGAAAAGAAAATGAGAACTAAAAGAAAAGAAAAAAATCTACGTGGTCCATATGAGGAATTTAAAAAGTAAAAGTTTACTGGATGAGTAACCACACATGGGGTAGGGAGGCTGGGGAATCATTTTTGCTGTCCTAGACTACTGGGCATAGCTTCCTTCTCTTTAACCTAAAACAGTGAATAGAGCTGTGTTCACTTAGCACACGAGAACAATTACCCCATGTTCAACTACGAAAGGAAGCAAAGAGAACTTAAATCATACCACAGGAAAGGCCAGGAGGATCTTATCTCAAACGTAATTAACAATGCTTGTTTTGGTCATAATAATCATTGGATTAATAATTTTTATGCTTTCCCTTTCCAGAGAAGAGTGAAATTTTAAATAGACATGTCTTTTTCACGAAAAAACAAAAATAAGTGTTATGACTTTTCTAGAACTTGGTGGAATAATAACAAGACAGTTAATACTTATTAAGTGCTTACAATATGCCAGGTTCTATGCTAACCTCTTTACACGCACTACCTCATTTAATCCTCCCCAAAATTTATGATGTGAGAACAATTAGTACCCCATTTTACAGATAAGGATAGTAATGCTTAGAGAGGCTCGCAAAGGAAATAAATGGAGAAGCTGGAATTGATCCAAGTCTGTCTGACTCTAAAGTCTGAACTCTATCCATTAGGTTATTATTGGGATACTTTCTCCTACATCTGTACCTCAGCTAACTTTTAGTTGATTTTATTTACATTAAGCTATATATTTTTGAAAAGCAGCCAACAACTTTTTGCTCTTAAGTTATCTAATATAAGACAAGCACCTAGTAAGCATGAAATAAGTGTAAATGAGCTTTGGATTCCTTTTGCAGAATAGCGAAATTTCATTTATCCAGGCATAGAAGGGTCAGATAATTATACCACACAAAATATTCCCAACTCTTATTACAGATAGTAAGCCTGGGCCTCTTTTCCATCAAACTATTACCAAGCAAGCAGGATGATTTAGTTTTAACCTTCTCTCTCCATCATCAATAACTTTAATGAAGAAGCTAAGGGTCAATGAAAGGGAAACAAATGGAAAGAACAATAAAGAGGGGAAAACCTGACTAACCAAGAAAACTAACCACACGATCCATAAATAGCTAAGTCAACTGGGTTATGGGAAATTAAAAAAAGATTAAAAAAAAAAAAAGGCAGTACCATCCTAAACATGGCAAAGATCACAAATTGTTTTGCATGGCATGAAAAGAAAGACTGTATCTTAAAATTCACACACGTGAAAGAATTCGAGCATTAAATGGTTATCACAACATGATAACATTCAGGTGAAAATACTTTGGTTCCTAGAAGCCGTTCAAGAACTCATATTCCTTTGGCACATCCTCAGCGGATCTAAAATAACATGGTTTATTACAAAGACAAGCACAAGCACCTTTACAGAAGTCCCCCAGCCAATAATTAGCGTCACGTTGTCCTTCCAGCAGAGGCTGCAGGGATACATATCCGGGCGAAGACTTATATCATCTCGGGGCACATTGGTGATTCTTTGCTTTGAGGTGATGTCAAAAATCTTCACACCCTGGAAAATAAAGTAGCATTAAAAAGCCTCTACCTGGGAGAAGGAAAGTAAAGGGAAATTTATTAACCACCATTGCTGCACACCACCAATAACCAGCACTGCAAAATATTGACTGTGGTTACTGAGAAGTGCTGGCAGTTGTGCAAAGGAAAATCCTTCTGCTCCACACAAACCCTTACGAGAACCAAAAACAAAAGAAAAACATTCCTTCTTTCTGGGCAAAGGAGATTTTATGAGGGATGACATGGGTGAATCAAACTCAACCCGAATCTGAAATGTACGAAGATCAACCAGTGCATTTCCAAAATGACAGACAAGTAACATTTAATTGTGTTGTTTCATCACAAAAATGGGGTTTATTTTTTTAGAAAAGCTTTGTATCTAAAAAATCACTATATAAAGAATACTGTACTTAACATTGTAAAGTTCTCAAATGGAAACATCTAGCAAGCAGCCAGCTAAAAATAAACCAAGAGGCCACAGGTTTGTTTACCTGTGTTATAACCTGGAGAATTAAGAAAAGTCCTGAATAGCAAGGTAGATTCTGGAAGGTTTCTACCATTTAAAACTGAATAAAACTGTTTGTTAAATTATACTTTGAAATTCTAAAAGATCTGCAAGGTATCAAAAAGACATCAGTAAAAACTTTCTACCAGTCCCAACTCATATGAAGTAAACTTTAAATAAGTGCAGCACCAAAAATTCTGATTCACTCTTTTTTAAGCCAGGCCTATATTTTTGCCTGTGATTATACTGAGAGTAAAACAGAAATCAATGATATTCTGTGCTTGTTTTATATCAACTGCTACTTGCCCCTGGCTAATAGGCAAATGGTATTTTCAAGACCACATTCCCAATGCAGCCCTTCAATTATTAAGATGCCTTTTCATTTTCTTGGCTACTCTCCAGGCCTCAGGTTTCTTACTCTAAAATAGAGTCTAGAATATGTTGGGAATTACTATATTATGAAAGCCAAAAGCAATCTAATTTCTTTTACCTTCCAGGTATGACTCATATCATACCTGGAAGGTAAAAGAAATTAGATTGCTTTTGGCTTTCATAACACAGTAATTAGGTATCTTTTGGAAATGACCACTTGTATCTTTTAGAAATGACCCCCTCAGTGAGTGGCACCCTCTCCCCTGTGCACAGCCATATTAGCTGTCACCCTCCTGGCTCTGCACAAATACAGATGCGCTTTTACCATGTTGTTGGCCCAAGCAATCAAGTGGCCTCGCCACTTCACACTTCGTATGTTTCCTTCCCCTTCATGCAGAACAGAAGACTTCCATCTGCTCATCCAAGACCGTTCAAACAGCAGCAACTTGGGGCAAATAGAAAAAGAGCATTTTAGAAACTGAGAGTCACATATTAGATACTATTTTTGTCTGTCCATGTGACCAAATAACAAACAGCTCAATCTGAACATTTTTATGTATAACTTAAAGTAGTATGGAGCCCTGGTGGCACAGTGGTTAAGAGCTCAGACCGCTAACCAAAAGTTTGGCAGTTAGAATCCACCATCCGCTCCTTGGAAACCCTATGGGGCAGTTCTACCCTGTCCTACAGGGTCACTATGAGTTGGGATCGACTAGATGGCAACGGGTTTGGTTTTTTGGTTGGTGTATAGTAGTAGGTGATTTGCAGTTTGGGAAGAATTACCAGCACATTTTATCCAAACCGGGACATTGTTGAAGTTACTACAACATCAAGCCACAAGATGGCACCAAAATACCAACATTCATGAAGAAGACTGCACGTTAGTGAATCAAAAGTTGTGTACCATGGAAAGTTCTTTAAATGATTAAGAATTCATTTTGTACCTTGGAAAATTAAAACCTCATAATTTTTTCCCTGAAAATAATATATATTAGTCACCGAGTAAACTGATAGTTAGAAGCAGTCTGTTTCTCATTTAAACCAACACAAATAATTTTAATAATGGCTTTTGAGTAGTAATTCACATCACAAAATAAATTCGCTTTAGGATTAAACTTCTTTAAAAAGTTTATAGTAGCTGGAGTTTTTATTTTAATATTTTAATAGGAAGAATCTGTAATAAAACTATCTGCTGGATAAATTTTAATATCACGTAATTCCTAGTCAAAATCACTAAGACTGATGATCATGTAAAAAACAAAACAATCCGTTATCTCTGTGTATCTACCTACCCATCTACCCACCTCTATATGTTTAGCAAGGAACTTTAGCTGATGTGTGAGGTAGGCTCCTATTTAAACTCAAAACCAAAAAACCAAACTCACTGTCATCAAGTCAATTCCGACTCACAGTGACCCTATATGACAGAGCAGAACTGCCCCATAGGGTTTCCAAGGAGCATTTGGTGGATTTGAACTGCGGACCTTTTGTTTTGCAGCCAAGCTCTTAACCACTGGGCCAGCAGGGCTCCGAAGATCATGTAGTCCTACTAATTCATGAATTGCTAAGGACATAATAAAATATTTTTTTGACATCCAATTTAAATCCCTTAAGAAAAGACATTTATACAGTATATAGCTTAAGGCAAGCAATCTTGAAATACATATTTACCTCTTAAAATCAAATGCTGATAATAGATTCCATTAACAGAATGTTTAAAATTCCTGTCATTAGAGGTAATTTCAGTTCATTTTAGCATATTTTGTATGTTCCCTACCCCAAAAGAGGAAAAGAAACAACTAATAGAGAAGAGAGTAAATTCCTATTTATATTTCCTTTTTTTTTTTTCAGTTGTTAGGCTCCTGTAGTCAGATGGAATACAATGAAAGAAAAAACAAAACAAAACAACAACAATAAAATGTAGTGTCCATCTGTATAAGTAAACTGAGTATAAGTCACTTTAAAATACCATAACTGTATGGATCCATTTGAAGGTCTCTATTTTCCATGCAAAACCAAGGTGGCATCATAGCCTCCACATTGTAGGCTGGAGGCAGAGATTTCACTGAACATACTAGTTCTTTCTTCCCATTAGATAAATCCTATACACTCTCAAAGACCTTCTATCCTACCTTCACCTCTCCCATCCCAGTTCCAAAGTAGGAAATCACCACCACCATGCCTTCCTGCCTCCCAATTAGAGATCTTCAGATATGTTCTCTGTGAGTCAGCCTCTCCCTCTGCCATCCACACGGAGAACAGAAGACAGAGGAAAGAACAAGGAGGGAAGTCACTGCATGAGGCCAAATGCAGAGGGATGATGAATGTGTTCAGTATTTTGTGACAGGATAGGTTTGAAATCTGGGAACGGAGGAGAAAGCCCAAGAATACAGTTCTGCTACCAGTAAGATCTCACTCACAAAAGACAGGCAGCTAATGAACATTATATTAAACGTGAGGAATTGTTAAGATTGAAATGTCCACCTTCCACCTGTGGCCAGGATTTAATGGAGGTGATTGTAAGAAATGTGCTGGGCACAGTGAGTGCTCAATAACCATCTGCCAGGTGTAATGGTTGGCTGGATGGCCAGGAGCAAAGGGTGGTGGAGGACGGCATCAAATTCCGTTTCCTCTCCAGTTCCCACCTAGAAATGGACACCGCATATCAAAAGGGGAAACAACTTGCACCTGTGTTGGATAAATTAAATATGCCCAAATTTTTTTAATAAAAATTCTGTAAAATATAGAAAAAAATAAGAATCTAGTGAAGGAAATAGCTCGAAGGCCTGATGGTGCAATGGTTAGGTGCTCAGCTGCTAACTGAGAGGTCAGCAGTTTGAACCCACCAGTGGTTCCATGGGAGAAAAGACCTGCTGATCTGCTCCCATAAAGACGACAGCCTAGGAAACCCTATGGGGCAGTTTTACTCTGTCCTATAGGGTCGCTACGTGACGGAATTGACTTGATGGCACACAACAACAAAGAAAAAGCCCACCTGGAAGTATCTGGTCAGTTAGGTACCAGAATGTCAAACACCTCTCACATTCAGTTTAATGGAGGCTGAAGGTGAGGGGAGCCAGGGTGCAAAGCTCATCTTGGGAAAGAAAAGCTGGGGTCAGCATTAGCAACACTGACACTAGAATAGCTCTACCTGCCATCCTTCTGTAGGAGCCTTGGTGGCGCAATGGTTAAAGTGCTCAATTGCCAAACGAAGGTCAGCAGTTCGAACCCACCAGACGCTCTATGGGAGGAAGACGTGGCAGTCTGCTTCTGTAAAGATCACAGCCTTGGAAACCCTATAAGGCAGTCTTATAGGGTCACTATGAGTTGAAACCAACTTGATTGCAATGGGCTTGTTTTTGCTTTTTTTTTCCTTCTTTTTTTTGTCATCCTTCCAGCTGTTGCTTGGTAAGGGGAAACAGGCACACTGGCAACAGGAGGGTGCCCACCAAGGGCAGCGGTGCCAGTTACCCAAGGTGGGCAGCACCTGTATACACATCAAACTGCCTCAGTAAATACAGAAGTACTTTCCTGCTGCACCAGTGATTACATTCTCTGGTAGTCATCTCCCTGACATAACTGTGTTCCAATTCTAGCAAAAACCAAGCATAAAACTTTTCCCTCTCCCACCATTGTCTAGAATAAAAAAAAAAAAAAAAGAACAACTTTTTACATAATTTAGGACAAATGTACAGCATTTGCCAACAAGAAAAAACAAAACAAAAAACTAGCAATATGGAAAAATTCAGTATTTGAAAATAATGGTTTTATCCAAGGAATAAGAGAAATATCCCACTCCTGAGTCCACACAATGAGACAGTCATAAAAACAGAACTTTAAAAATAAGATCTAATTCTTGTTATCTTCATTCTCAGCTGACAACAAATTTAGGTGAGAAATGAATAACAAAGGATAAGAAAAATAAAATTTAAAAAATGAAATTAAATTAAAAAAATACTCTTGATTCTTAGGTAATAGGGGAAATCAAACTGCAACAAGGGGACTTTGAGAAGAAAATACAAATACTACCAACCTAAACTTTTGGGATGCAATCAAAGTTGTAAACAAAGGAGAGTCCACAGCTGTAAAAGCTAATCACCAAGAAAACGATATCTGCACGTTTTAGTTACATGACAAAAACACTTTATTGAGGGATATAGAAGGAGAACTAAATAAATGGAAAGACACATTATGTTCCTGGATAAGAAGACTCAACATTCTCACTGAAGAGCTTCATTTCCACTAAGGTAACCTAGGATTTCAATGCAAGCCCAAAGAAAATCCCAAAGAGAACATTTCTACAATTTGCAAAAATGCTAAATATTCATTAAAAAAAAAAACAGTGAGAATAATAAAAAAATTGTTTAAAATTAAGCATTCTGGCAGTGGTGGAAGGGGAGATGGATTTGCCCTGCCAGATAGTAAAACATTTTATAAAATTAAGTCTCAAAACAGTATAGTAATGGTCCTAGAATTGACAGATTAAGGAAAAAGAATAGAAAGAACTGACAAAGATAAACCAAAATGACATGTATGGCCGGAAACTGGTGGGGTCCAGAGAAATAGATGCTCTTTAGCTACTTAACAGTCTTTGGAGTCATCTTTCTGGAAGATTCTTTAGCATTATGGGCACAGAGCTTTAAAAAATGACCCCAGAAAGTCCACTGCTGGGAATTTATATTAAGAAGATGATCAGAAAAGTGGGCAAAGGTATATCTAAAGTTATTTATAATAGCCAGAAATGAACTAACAACTGAGTGAAATGTGGTAAGAGATGTTGTTGGGTGCCATCAAGTTGATTCTGACTCACAACCCTATGTGATAGAGTAGAACTGCCTAATGGGGTTTTCTTGGCTGTGTAATGTTTATGAAAGCAGACTGAACTAAATAACATAATGATATGCACTCATTTTTAAATGATTTTATATATATATACATATATTAACATAAAAAGATGTTCAGAGCATATTAAATAAGATTATAAGCCAATATTAAATACGATGTCCTTTAAAGAAAGTACAAATGTGCATGCATGTATAATATCATAAAATATGTGAAAGATACATTACAAAGTAATCATAATTAATTCTAGAAATGAATGACAGATTTTAAAGTGATTATCTCTATTGATAGTTTTCCTGCATTAAACACGGATAATTTTTTATAATGATAATATATTAATGAGAATGAAAATCTATTATTTTCATAATTGAGACAATTTAGGGGAACAGTTGAAATAATATAATAGTAAAAATGGTATCAAAAATTCACTGGAACTTAAAGAAGGTATTTTGAAGGCATACTGAATATGTATTAGAATTAATTCACATAAACTACTTAAACTTTTAAAATAAAATGTAAACTTCTTTAGAATATCGTTAACCAAGTCTTATTGTGATTCCAATAAAAATCTAAACTCCCTTCCAATCAATCGTTTCTATTCAC